GCTCATCTTCTGACATAATATCAGAAATTGTTTCATGGCTATTCATAAAGTTTTTCAGGAAAATGTCAGATAACATTTCACTCATAAGGTTTCCCATGGCCATTTTTTTTTTTTTCAATTTTTATTGTGCTTTGGGTGAGTTTATAGAGTAAATTAATTTTCCATACAGCACCTCACATACACTTTGTCTCATGACATTGACCGCAATTTCCCACAATGTAACAGGCCCCATCCCACTTCCTCCTATGGTTACCTCTTCCCTGTGTCCTTCCTTCCCATGCACGCCTGCCCATGAGCTGTCTCCCCATGCATACACACCCCTTCTATTCTCCCATGATTGAGCTCTCCTAGAAGTGTATCTACCTAACTTAAATGTTCAGCTCATATGCCTTTCTTTTGTTTGCACACATCCAATTTTTTTCAGAAGTGGACCTCCAAATCCATCTTCCTGGTCTGTCTTATTCTGAAACCTCTGCTGAAACCTATCTACCATGGTGACACTGTTGGTATCTGAAATACTGGTAGCATAGCTTCCAGCATCAAAGCAACACGTAAGCTGCTACAGTTTGACAAACTGACAGACAAGTGATTTATTATGGGTGTGAAGAGGATTTCATGGAATATAATTCACAATGACCCAGACTCTGTCTTGAATCCAGACTGATGTGTCCAGTTGGCTTTTTGACATCTCAGCTGGGTCCTCTCACAGACATCTCTACCTTGAAGTGAAACACGGATCTCTTGAGCTACCCTGAAGGTGTCCATAGCTCCATGCAGGGTGGCCTTGAAATTCCTGGGGATCTTGTGAGCATTTCAGATTCATTTCCCAGGACTGATCTTTCCTGAGAATGAAAAAAGAGGAGGAAAGAAAGAGGTGTCTGGAATGACTCTGTCCCAGGAACTGTTTCCATTCAGATATGTGGTAACAGAATTCTCTCAGGAAGTGTATGACTGCCTGGACCCTTCTCAGAGGACTCTGTATAGGGATGTGATGTTGAAGAACTACAGGAACCTGGTCTCCCAAGGAATCTTGGCTTCTGGTGTAAATATAATCTCCATTTCAAAACAAGGGATAGACTTCTGGACTGTGAAGGGAAGGAAAAATAGCAAAATACCCAGGGTCCTCTTTTTCTGAAGATAAATATCAGTCATCAGGAACTGAAAGAATGTTTTCCAGGGATTTACCAATAGGAATGATCTTCATATCACAGACTATTTTGGAGATCTTCGAGAATTCTTTCTTTCTTACCATTATACCTTCCTCTACTTCACTGAGTATAAGATAAGTTCCACAAGTTTTATTCCCAGACACCTGACTGAACCCAAATCCTTGGTCATTCTCTCTAAGGGAACCCCCACAGATAATAGCAGATTTCTAATTGAAAGATTTCCTCAATGCTTTTGGATGCAAATTTATTTTCTATGTTCACAGATTGTACAAAGTAGTGTATATTGGCAATACCTGCCTCTTGAACATCTTTTCAGGCAATCACCATCAGCCCCAGCAATTGCAGGTGGACAGAGCTTAAAGTAAAGTGTTCCAAGTGTATCAGCTCTTCCAATATCCTGCTTTGCATAGTCAATAAAAAACAGATAAACATCTTTCTGGTATACTCTGCCTTCAGCCAAGATACATCTACATCAACAACAATATTTCTCAATTCACATTCTTTTCTGTTTCTGGTTTGGGTATCTGGCAATTTCCTATTGATGTAATACTGAAAACATTTTGAGTTATCTTCAGCAATATTTAACATGCATGTGACATTAATAATATGGTTAGATAATTTCTGAATTTTGTTTGATCACCTTTCTTTGGAAAGGGCACAAATATGGATCTCTGTCAGTCAACTGTCTGTCCATCTGTTTTCCAAATTTTTTGGCATAAGCAAGTGAAGACTGCCAATAATCCACACACTTGTTGAAACATCCCAATAGTTATTCCATCAATTTGTGGAGAATTGTTTATTCCAATGCCTCCACTGCAGCTTAGATTTCTTCTTTCAATACCATGGTACTTGCTCCTTTCTTGGTCCTTGATCATAAGCTATCTCCTGAAGTGGTTGAACATTCACCAATTATATTTAGTACAGTCATTTTGTGTATTTCTTCCATTTTCTCTTGAAGCTTCCTATGTCGTTCAATATTTTGCCCATTGTTGTTGCTGTTATTACCTATCGAGTGGCATCCCACTATAGTGACCCCTCCTTGGGTTTCCAAGAGGGTATCACTATGGAAGCAGATTGCTCAATCTTCCTTCCAAGGAGTGGCTGGTGGGTTTGAAATGCCAGCCTTCTGGTTAGCAGTCAAGTGCCTTAGGCACTATACTACCAGAGTCCCTTAGACTTTCAATATTGCAACTTGAGGATTAAATTTTTTATTAAGTTCTTTTAGCTTGAGAAATGCCAAATATGTTCTTCCTTTTGGTTTTCTAACTCCATGTATGTACACATTTTAATATAGTATTTTACTTGATAAATACTTACAATACTTTTACTTGTCTTCTTGAGTTGCCATTCTGTTCAATCCTTTTATTTCATCATTTCTTCTGTTGCGTTAGATTATCTATGTTCACGAACAAGTTTCAGAGTCCTTATAACATTTATTTTTGTCTTTCTTTTCTCTCTTACCTTTGGCTTCCTTCATGCATGATGTCCTTGATGTCATTTCATAAGTCATTCAGTTTTCAGTCATTAATGTTTAATGTGTCAAATCTATGCTTGAGAAGGTCTCTAAATTCAAGTGGTATATACTCAATAGTTTCAGTTTCTTCAGCTTCAATTTAAAATTGAGTATGAGCAACTGAAGATCTGTTCTGCAGTCAGCTGCTGGCTTGCTCTGAATGATGATATTTAGCATCTATCTCCATATTCCATTTCCACAGATCTAACCTATTTGATTCCTGTGTGTTCCCACTGGTGAGGTCCATATGTAAAGTTGTCCTTCATGTTGTTGAATTTGTTGGTCTAGCAAATTTTATCATAAAATCATCAATGATGTTTCTATAACCAGGGACATATTTTTCAACTAATGATAATTCTTCTTTGCTCCCATATTTCATGTTATAATCACCAGCAATTATCTGTGCATTGAATTAACCTAAAAATCAGCCCTGCTAGCCAGAGACTGCATCTAGGACTGCTCTGGTGGCTGTGGTATAAACCAAGAAGGCAAACAGAAAGGTGGTCTGCGCTGTGGACTTTTGCCTACTGGAGGGTGCCACATTTTGAATGTTTACAAGTGGCTTGATCGTTTTGGATATTTAAAGAGACAGCACTCTACCAGATTCCAGAAGATTGAGAATAGGTTCTGTTTGCCATCAACCCCAAGGACACTCCGGACCTGCACGACTGAAAAGGTGTGACATTTCTCTTGTTACTCTTATACCCCACACCCGCTTGGTGAAAAGAAGTGCAGCCATCCTCCACT